TAGATAGATAGATAGATAGATAGATAGATAGATAGATAGATAGATAGATAGATAGATAGATAGATAGATAGATAGATAGATAGATAGATAGATATTAGCATCACATGGCATTTTTTTGCATAACTTTTTGCACAGCTTTATTCTGTTTGTGTGTGCATCTGTGGCTGTGTGTGTGTGTAAATGTCCATGTGTCCATTTTTATGTATCTCAGCCTTTGATCACTCTTCGGGTTTATTTGCTCCCCTGCCTTCATTTTTCAGTTGGTGGGTATAAATTGAAGTGGCGGGAGCGTTCAATGCCATGGCGTGTGTATATGTGTATGCGTGTGCGTAGGGTCACATGCATGTGTATGAACCAATATGTATGCATGAGTTAGTCTGTGTCCTTCCCACTTTCCTCCACAAGTAAAGGCGTAAACCCCATGGCGACTGACGCAGGTGTCTGCATATTAAGTGTTGGTTCAACCAGCAGTGTGCAGAGGGGGTTGAGGGAGCAAGGCATAGTTTTAAAAAAAAAAGATTTATTTGTTTGTCAAGGTTATGTCTGTGCTCTGACAGGACACTCATGATTTAATCATTTGTCATGCCCAAAATATTCCCACAATCAAGTATCATCCTCTTAGCCAGTGTAGAGCAAAATGAACCTAACCATGTAATCCTAATCCCAATCCTGCACGCTTGTTTTCCTTCCCTGCCCCCAGATTTCACTGCACACCACTAGATTCACTTACCTTCCTCGGTTGGCACATAGATATTGAGGTAGAGACAGTCCTCGCTCTGGTGAGTGAGGTACGTCGCTGCTATATCCAAGTTAGCAGTGAGCCAGGATGGCATCATGTCTCCCAGTATGCTCCTCTCATCCAATGACTGTGGGCACACAGGAGCAAACTGCGTCACGTTTCGTATTCCTGGCCAAGGTAAGGGCGGCTCAGGCGGCTGGAAGCGCCGATCCCCCGTGGGAGGCCTGGCGTAGGGTACTCCAAGGTACTGAATGACAGGCCCAAGGAGGTCTGAGGGCAGCGGGGTCAAGATGCCACGGATACGGCCCTGTGCCGTAGAAATGACCGGCACAGTCTGTTGTGCCAATAAGGAGGTTGGATAGAGAGAAAGGGAAAGGCAGAGGGAGAGGAGGAGGGATAGAAACCTGAGGTGGAAAGAGAAGGATGAAGGGGGGGATAAAAGTCTGCTGGTCCTCAGCTCGGACATGATGATGTGTTTTGGGGATAGCTGGAAGAGGAGGGATAGGAGGGGTAAGGGGAGGAACTGGGGGAGGCAGAGGGTTCCAGCTGCTTTGACCCTTCAGAGGTATCCAACACTCACACACAGCTGCTGCTCAGCTTGGCCCATAGCACACACAACACAGTCCTGGCTCCTGCAAACAACCTTTTCCCCTTGTGTATGTGTCTGTCTGTGTGTGTTCCTGTGTGTGAGTCAGTGATTCTGTTCCTCTGAGTGTGCAGTGACTCAGTCAGTGACTCCGTTCAATACGCCGTCTCAGAGTGTATGCATGTGTGGAACTGTTTAAGTGAGTGTGTATGTCTTGGACTGGCGATTTGAGCCTGCTTGCATGTCTGTGTGTATATGTTTGTGCATGTATGTGTGTGCGAGTCTCTCCTGTTATGTAAACAGTGGCATCACTGTTCCGCTGTCACTTTCTCCTTCGGGTCACCCCCATAACAAGCCCAAACTGCCGCCTGGATAAGAGAAAGAGAGGCAGAGAAAAGCGGAGGAGGGGAAAAAAAGAGAAAGAATGGATTTAATTAGTCCTGATTAGAATAATCACAGGGCAACAAAAAATAAATAAATAAAATGTCACACACACACACAAACACACAGGAGACACACATATGACATGACAAGGCCGGCTTGTGCACCTTGCTTTCTTTTCATGATAAAAATAGATATGGGAGTGATAGATAGGGCAAACGAGATGTTGTCCGCTCAGCTTAACTCGGTGTCAGACTGTCAGGGCTGCTGTGTCACATCCTCACTACACACTGTTTCACAGATCACAGGACCCCGATGGGGGGATGGGAGGGTGTCACGTCACACGCTTAATTAAACCCCGAATACACCGTAGGGCTCCTGACCTGCATGTAGCATAAGGTAGGAAGCCTGTGACGCGCGCACGACCACGCACACGCATACTTTGCTCTCCATCCCACCACCTAAGATGCGTGCAATACACCTTTTTTTTAAATGTCTCACACACACTTTCTTTGTCACCTTACATGCTCAGTCTTTTTCCCTCTCCATCTCAAGCGCACTCACACACACTCTCCAACACACACACTCACAGCTGCTTCCCAGCCGACACTGCTTTCTCTCTCTCTCTCTCTCTCTCTCTCTCCCTCCGAGGGCCTGAGGGCAGAATATTAACACACGCGTCCACATACGCGCACAAAGAGAGAGAAACATCAATTCTCTGTATAATCACACAAACATCCGCGCGCGCGCGCACACACACACGCCGACCCACTGTAAGCTGCAAAGATATTAGAGTGTAAAAGGATCAGCGCGCTGTCGCTCCTCTTATGTTAGATTGTATTGGTGTCGGCTGTCCAAGGTGCTAGTTAACATTCCAGTGGTGATCACACACACGCTGATGAATAACGCTCCATTTATCAAGGCAAACCCGCCTGCCACCCTCCCCTTGTGTATTTTCATATAGAAAGAACAGATAAAAGCTAGGCTGCTTTCTTATTATAACGAACGAGAGGGAAAGCGTGTGCGATGAAGAAGAATAAAAAACAAATAAGTGTGGAAAAATGCTTGCCTGTGAGGTAGAATTCCCTGTCTAAATCTCTATCGGCTCTGAAGCTGACTACGGCAAAACACGCTCACTCACTCACACACACACTCACACACACACTCAAATGCAAAGCCTCAACCTGCATCCCCGCTGCAGTAGAAGGGGAAAAAAATCCTCAAATGACAAAAATGTAGGATATACCGTACCCAGGCTGGGTGAGAGGTGTGAAATCCCATGGACCTGCTCTCCTTTCCCTTCCACCGCAATATTTGCCGCGTGCTTTCGCTGCTGCAGCTTATCCGACGTGCCCGGGATGGGATATTGGGAGATATTCCTCTGCTGCTGCTGCTACTGCTGCTGGTGATGGTGGTGGTGG